AGTTTGTCGCAAGAACCCTTGAAGGTTCATGGTGGTAAGGTAAAACAGCATCTTTTGTTGCCACCTTTTGAATTCAACACCGGTAAATTTTTCCGATCTTTCGCCATGAGCAGGGGCAGAGTTGTGGATTGGAAGAGCCATTGGAATTGTTGCAGTAGCAGAAGGGACAGCAACATTAGGAATGGCAGCGGCAGCGGCAGCAGCAGCGGCAGCGGCATCAACATTTTCGTTTCCTTGATTTTCCATCTCGAAAGCAGAAAGTGATAAGAAAATTTTGTCTTAAGATTGTTATTTGGGACGGTTTTCGAGATAGGAATTTTTGAAGAAAGATTTGATAAACAGGGAAAAGTCGAGGCAAGAACTTTGTTCTCTCTCCTTAAGACAAAATTGCCCCGCAACAGTGCTTCGGTTTCGGCAATTGTCTCCCAAGATACAACGACTTACAGTTCCAACAGAGCAGCACAACAACTGCTGGAACACAACGAACGAAAAGACGTTTTGGACTTTTATTGACACGAAAAAAAGATATAATGCAACGAATATGCTTATGGCTTATGAATGCTTGGATGATAAGTGAGATTGCTGGAAAACTAGGGCTGTATTTATAGTTTTCAGAAAGTTGTGTTCCAAAAGACACAACTCTAAGCTGAAAAAACATTGTGTCTTTTCGCAGGGGCTAAACACCAATTCGTGTTTAAACTGCCACCTGTTCGGATCTGATGCTAGTCCAAAGTCCAAAGTCCAAAGTCCAAAGGCCTCGGACTCGGGCTCGGGCTCGGGGGGGCGGCGGCGGCGCGCGTGTGGCTTGATACTTGATTACTCACTTGATTATACCTCTAGCTATCCATTTGACACTATTTAAAGTGTTCTCATTAATGCTCTTTTCGTGATGTGGGACAAGTGACTTTTCACCTCCCACCAAGCCCTTTGAGCTCACTTTAGCTCATTGAAGTACTTACTTTGTGCATTTATTTCTCATTCATCCTATATTGGATTTGAGCATTTAAACACACTATAATTATCTACTCGAAATGTAGATTATATTTCTCATAATTTATTCCTTGAAACGATCACGGAATTTGTACTTCAATATTTTCCACATTTGAGGTAAACACCTCAATTTTCCAACATTATTAATGTTGAAAAAATACAAACAATTGAATTAACTAAATATATGCAAATGCATAACTTAATACAAGCTCACCTATGTTATTAAAATCGACATTGTGATAATTTTTAATAAAAAATAATATCATATGTTTATTTAGAAAGTACATATTAGGAGTAATTAAATAGTAAGATTTGGATTAATTATGTTAATTAAGTAAAACATTTATAGCAATTATTACCAATACATATATATCACCAAGATGAAGAGGAACAAGTATTTCAAATAAAATTTTCTAGATTAACTGATGGAACATAAATTTACATCTACGGCATCTCGATTGGAGCCATATATAATTAGCATCTAAAAAAAAGAAGAAAAAAAAGGGATACAACAATATATATATCTAGAACCAAAGGAAGAATTTGTAGCTGACATATAATTACTTGTTCAAGCCAACTTTTTCTATCCGCCACCGGAGAAGAAGAAATTCCTCGACGGAGCACGGCAATATTAAGGGGCCGTTTGTTTGATAGCCATAGATTTTCGAAGCTTTTTCAAGAAGCTTCTGGAAGATGGGATTGTACAAGTATGAAATTGGAATGTAGAATCTCTGAAACAACTCACAACAATAATCTTGAATATGATCATTGCTAATTATATCTGACAATCCAACTTGGACTACAACCCATCCTTTCTTCAACTTCATCTTCTTCCTCTCTTTCATTTTTTCTTTTCTAATTAATTAATTAGGGTTTACACCAAATAATTATTGGAGCAACTCCTGTAAATATATGTGACAAGTTACTAAGTTTATGTGTAGAGTTGTGGTGTGATAGTATGTTGTCTTGAGGAGTGAGGACTTATATAGGATTTAAGATTTGATTAATATTATGTTTTGCAGATGGAAATATATATATATATATATATAAAATAATTTTATGTTTTTATAACATCGATTATTACTAGAGAATATATGGGTGGAGCATTATTTATTAATAATTAATTACAACCACTAAGAGTGATTAATTAATTATTTGGTCAAATATTGTGTTTGTTCAAAACTAAAAATGTTTAACATGAAGTTTAATAGATTCAAATCGATATAAACAATGCGTTTTTTGGCTTTTATAAAATATTCTCTTAGATATAAAAAGTTTCCGAAGGAGAAAAAATAAGACAAAATAGGATCGTTCCGTACCTTGTAATCGTAATTTTAATTTCTTGTGTTTGGCGAAGATCACTTATTGATCATTATTGAGACATCACAAAGTGCTAATTAAGACTACCGAATCTTGCATGTTATGATCAATTAGAGGAACTAATAAAGATCAAGAAACAAAATTAAAAAAATTGCCCGTATGGGTGTAGCTCAACTGGTTCCGGGGTGGTAAGTTGGTACAAGGTCCTAGGATCGAATCTTGGCAGCCGCAGTGTGAAAATTTCAACTCCGATGAGGGTTGGTTGCTTGTGGTCACCAAGTGGCGAGGGATTAAATATATTAAGATGAATACTAATAGAAAGATGAATACTAATAGATTCGTTAAAACTTATTTGGACGAAGTGGTATAAAATTGATTTCTTTTTAGGAGGATGTTATTAGTTCCTCTAATTCCCCTATGCATGACTCTAATCTCAGTGGAAATTACACGGATCGAATCACAAAAAATCGGAAAATTTCAAGAATTGAAAGCTTGTTCATCTCGTTTTATAGGTAACTTTTCCCTTTCAAAGATTACAAGTATGTCCAGATTAACTACTGTAATTAGAGGGGAAAAACAAAAAGTTTGTCCCCTAAACTAAGACCCATTTTACGTTTCGCCCCAAAACAATTTTTTTTTTTTTTGCACGTTTTTACCTAAATTCGAGTTTTTGTTGCATGGTGCCCAAAAGTGGTATATTCCAGTGAAATTAAGTGGAAGTTTGTGCACGCGCGCCACATGTGAAACTGATAGGGGTAAAATTGTCTATCACTCACATCTTGACTAAGGTTTAATTTTTCCTTTTTTTCTAATCTCTCTTTTTCATTTCTCACTTTTTATCCAAATATCTCTCTCTCTCTCATTCTCTACTACAGAGAATTAAGTTCTGCATTTCCCCTGATTTTTCTTATTCTTGTTTCCGATCCTTACTTAGCTCAAATTCCCACCTTTTCCGCCGTCGGTATTCCCCTAATCAACTCTACCACAGCAACCCCGGACCCAACTCCGACAACGAGACCCATCGCCCAAACCCCAGCCCACAGCCTCCCACCATCCCGTCATGAACCGACTCCATTTCGGCGGCGGCAGACGAGTCTAATGGGGATGCGAAGCCGTGGAACTTGTGGCCTGGGAAGGAGCCCGTCAAAACAGCGGCGGCGGCGAAATCGAAGAAGGAAGGTTATTTTGATTGACGAGATGTTTGAAGACACCCTCGGCGGCTGGGCTTGTATAGATACTGTCGAAACAAACGAATAGCACCGAGAATGGTTTTGCGGCCATTGATGAAGCCTTTGCAGCGACATTTCGTAGAGTGCAGCGATCGAAATTTCTTTATTTTCATTTACGTTTTTGGGGGAGTGATCATACTTAGAAGAGAATATCATTTATTCTTCATTTGGAGTTAATAATTTTTGTTTGGGTAAGAATTTGAGAAAGAGAGCACGTGGATTGAACGGAGGTGGGTTCTCACAAGAGAATTCAAGGAGGGATAGAAGAAAAGAAGACAGGTGGAGGCCACAGGTTTTATTGCGAATGAAAAGACAAATTCACCCCTGCTAAACTCACTTCAACAGCGCGTGCCCGGTGCATTTTGCCGGAAAATACCACTTTTGAGGCAATATGCAACAAAAACACGAGTGTAGGTAAAAAAGTGCAAAAAAACATTGTTGGTGGGGTCAAGCACAAAACGGGTCTTAGTTTATTCTAATTAATATTAGTGACAGAAGAATACATCGACATGTAAAGAAACTATTAGTCTACTACTCCATGATTCGTTGTGTACAAATAATCGAATGGTAAAAGTCCAAAATTTTACTTTCTACATCAGTAATGTATTAATTTATTTTCACTAAGTGGTTTAAAACTAACTCCACTCCGATGCCCTGTAAAATTGGGAAGATATGAAAACCATAATAGCTAAACCTTAAAAGGCTGTGATTGGTTCATGGAAAATGCTAGGTAAAAAGTTGAAAAATCTAAGTAATTTGTTTTTCCTGTTTGCTTAAAAGGTAAAATAGTGAGTAATGTAATTTAGAGAAAATGGTGAAAAGATTTTTAACTAAAAATGAGGAAAACTCATTTTCTTCAAAATATATGAGGAGAGTGAGGAAAACTAATTGGGATCTCTTCGCCCATTCAATATCCTAAGGCTCTGATTGCTTCATGGATTTCAAAATAAGGAAAATGTAAATACAAAGGAAAAGGAAATTAAGAAATTTTGAAATCCCAATTACGTTTGGTTCCTAAGAAAAATGGTGGTGGAAATGATATTGTGGAAAATCATTTTCGGTGGTTTTGTTTGGTTCCTATGAAAAATGAGGAGGAAAATAGCAAGTAAAATGAAAATAACAATAAATTATTACGAAAAAATTAAATTAAATTTCAAAACAAAAGTTGCTCAGTTACTCCTACGCCCAAAATCCACCGTCTCTCCAGACCACCCCCAAAACTAAATTCATGACCCCTCCTCCCTTTGTCCGACTGAAATTTTCGCCGCCGTTGGATGGGTTCTTCACAATTTTTCCTTCTTTTGCTATGTTCAGTCACGATAAATCTTTTACCTCGGTTTTTTTCTTTCTTTACCTCCTTCGTTAACTCCAACATGGAGAAAAACTCCACTATTATCTCCTTGCAAATCCAATCATCGGACCAATAGGAGTATCACCGGAACGTTCGCAAGCTTCTTAAAGATGAAAGGGTTGCTAGCGGCAGCGGCAACTGTGGGGTTCCTGGCGGTGGTAGAGAGGTTTTCACGGCCGAAAAGTTCCCAAGCAGAAAAGATGGAGATGATGCTGACAGCGGCGGCATATAATTTGTTGGCGGCGGCGGTCGATGTTGGAGGGGCCGATGATGGTGGCGGCGGCTACGGCGGTCGTCGTGGGAGGGGCCGGTGGTGGTGGCGGAGATGTCGGCAGATAGTTAGTGAAAGCCAATCGAGAATTGAATGGGCGAAGAGATCTCGATTAGTTTTCCTCATTTTCCTCATATATTTTTAAGAAAATAAGTTTTCCTCGTTTTTAGTTAAAAATCTTTTCACCATTTTCTCTAAATTACATTACTCACTATTTTACCTTTTAACCAAACAGGAAAAACAAATTATTTATATTTTTCAACTTTTTACCTAGCATTTTCTATGAACCAATCAGAGCCTAAACATTTTAAGTAGATAAGAAAAAGAGAAATTACTTCGAGGCAGATTCTTTTACTGTCAATGTAAGTGGCTATTCTTTACTTCTTTGCGGTCGAATTAGGACGGAAAAAATTTGGTGGAGATAGAAGAAGAACAACAACGAGGGGTTCTGAAGAAGATGAACAAGGGTTCTGATGAAGAAAATATAATAATTTGCGGTCGAATTAGGACGGAAAAAATTTGGTGGAGATAGACGAAGAAGAAGAACAAGCGGGTTTCTGACGAAGAAAAATTAATAATTTACAATTTAGTCGATTAGAAGTAAGAATTATTGTTTATTTTTATATAATTTTTATTTGTTGATTTGTAATTAAATTTATAAAGTACTAATTTTAAAAATAAGCTTTATGATTTTTTTAATTACATTTAAGTTTAATTGAAAGGAGTTTTATGTAATTTTACTGGGTTCGTACTCTTTTTTACTAAGTACGTACTAATCCTACGTGGCGCATTTTTATTTGTTAGTTACGGTCCGAGAAGTCCGAGAAGTACAGCCTTCTCGAACCCTAGACAAAGCCAGCTAAATAATTGATGGAGACGTAACAAATCAAATAAAATACGCATATGGTCAAACGCTCAAAAGTATACAATCAACGTGTTAAATGATGAAAATTACACAAACTCTTACACAACAGTTGGTACAGAATAGTCATTTTGTTTCAAGAAAAACATTACAATTACACCCTGATGAGATAATGCTATTACAATTATGAGGAGGTAAATTTGATATTTTATGAGAAAAATTCCATGGAATCCAAAAAAAAAAAATCTTCAAACTTGACACTAAAGGCAACAATGTAAAAATGCAACAAACTTTAGAAGATAGTTGATAATCTTATATATATAAAAAAAAAGATATTTTGAACTAAAACCTAGACCTAAACATAGCGGTAATTTTGTAAATTAATAAATTTCTAATTTAAACCCTAATTCCCTATATTTGCATATACCGCGTTTCTAGTTTGTTTCCCTTCTCCACTCTAACCACCCACTAACTCGTCATGGTAGAAGTTATTACATCATGATCTCAACCCCATTACCAATTTCATTGTTCTATTTAAACTCACGAGAACTCCACCAAAAATCACAAAAAAAAATTCCAAATGTCTTCTTCTTGCTCATTTAAAAGTATGTTTGTCTTCTTCTTCCTCACCAACATTTTTCAACGTAAGTAGGTAAACAATACAATTATATATTTAGATTTGTTTTATATCATATGTTTAAATTTCTCATCACATAATAGGTGCTAACGATTTCGATTTTCTTGTACAACTCATGCATAATTTCCGTTCACAATGACTCCTTATATGTCAGTCATATGCCTTCACATAATGTTCATCTCTTTCATTGTTTGGTTGACCATGGTATTTTTCGTTTTCATAAACATATTATGCCATTTTTTTTTGTAAACTCATTATGTTTTATCACTTCACAGGTTACTATCTGTTAATGTTGGAGGCACAACAATTGTTGCAACGTTAGTCGTATTGCTTGACAAATTGGTGTTCCAAAGTCTTCGCAGGAAACCTTGCGTTGAATATGATTTCACTACAGTACTGTAGCACCCTCAATGATTTAAAAGAAATTTTAGAAAACACAGACTTTATTAAAATCTTTTGGAACAAATTTGAACTTTGAGAAAAACCACTTTAAAATTTTAGAACCATTTCCCTTTACTTCAAATCTAACCCACAATCGGAAATAAGATTTTTCATAGAGAGTGTACCATAACATGAAAGGGATTTTGAAAGAAATCTCGAGGTGGCGGAATAATCCACATAAAACATTACCGGGGTTTAGAAAACACTCGTAAGACAGCGGAAGGAAATAAACTTTATTTAAGATACCCCCGTTTCATAGACTGGGTTCCCAATCAGAGTACAAAAATTAAAAATCGATATCTTGGCTAGATATTTTAGAAATCGTTGACGTGGTAAAAATTCGGGTAAAACAGTCAAGGCACCAAGGCTAGCGATTCCTCGAACTCCACTCCGCCGGCCTCCTAGTTGTTACGACAACCTGAAAAGGGAATATAAATAAAAGCATGAGCCCAACCACTGGCTCAGTAAGGACGTTGGCCTGACGAACTCACGCCTCTCTCAACGTGTCACTCACGACCTATGGGAGTCCTAAAGTCCCTGTCTATGTTCTTTTCTGTCTAAGGCTTTTACGTCATAATTGTATTATGTTATAGTATTTCATCGACGTTAATCACGACATATAATCACGCCACAATTAACTAAACATACAACTTCACACATGAGCACTTAATAAAAAGTCTGGTTTTTCTTTGAAAGCCATTTGAAATTCACTTTGAAAATCATGTGGGAATTCGTTTTCCTTTAGAAATCATTTCTTAGTTCATTTTGGAACTTGTCTTGTACAAAATATCCCTTCCCACGAAATTCCCCTTTTTAGAACGAAAGCCCCTTTCCAAAACTCTTTATAAAACCATTTTTCTTTCAAAATATTTCGTATGCAAGTATGCACTTGTTGGGATCCCTAACGTAAGTATCGGCAATAGACGTTTATATGCTGAGCCCGGTCATTCGGTGGGAGCTAACCACCCTGTTGTTCTATAGTAACTGTTGTTGGGATACCGGCCCCCCGTATCCCGTGTCTATTCAACAGTAGCAACGTTACAATTTTGACTCTTCTATAGTAGACCATGCAATACCAATTAATGACTCGATGAATGCACGCAAGTCAAAGATCTTAATAGCAACACGATAAATATTCCAATTATATCATTCACGTAATTCGAAGGAATCAAATCACATAATCCGGAAGTAATTTCCGAGGATATAGTACGCACATATAGATTAAACATTAGTAATAAAGACACATATACTTTTACACGTATATACACGTAGGCACTTATCCGTATTTATATACTTATACATATATGTATATACTCTAATTTATAACTATGGGTTACAAGTTTCCTCAACCCGAGGGGAGTACGCCTATAACATCATAGGTCTAAACTATCGATATACATATAAATATACTTATACATATACATACTTATACCTCACAAGAGTAAATCACATAATTCAAATACACATAATGAAATTCAACGCTTCTTATTTAAAGAATCATCGGGAGATCTAATTCATCATAAGTACTAGCACATAGCAAGTTCAAAGAACAACTTATTATTCTAATCATAGATTAGTCTAAGAATATTTCTTAGATGTAGCTCAATACTCATGGAAAACTTCATCTATGTTCAACTATTATGTTAAGTTATGCCTCAAGAGTTTAAACCATGCTCACAAAGGACCTTTTGATTCAAGTAGTTTACTCATAGGAAAATCGGACAGTTTTGACACTTTTACTTCAAAAATACATTTCTCTTAGACCATAACTACAAAAATTCTGAAACTTTAACACAATACTCGTATATCAGTGAAAAAGACTCTTTTAAAACAGTTTTCGAAGACAAGAAGTAGCCTAAGAGAAATAAGTAAAACAGTACAGTAGTATGGTCACACTTTCAGAAACAAAACCAACCACTTTAAAAATACCCAATAAATCACCCTTTTGTTAAAACACTGTAAACCTTTGCAGAAAATTGGTTTTATAAGTTATAAATATATTCCAAGTGGAATCAAGGAAATCAAACTAGGAAAACATCGATTTTAAAAGCAAATCCTCAGCTGACTCACAAACTGTGCAGGTTTAGTAAATAATTCATATCTTAATCATCTGAAATTCTTTTGATGATTAAAATATATCAAATTAAAGATAACCGAGAGATCTAGTTACCCATAAACTTTCATGATTTTAGGAAAACAGGGAATCTGTGAAACATGCAGTAAACTCCGAGACTGAAAACCTGAAATTTCATTAGTGATCTATATCTACATCTTTGATCAAAACAGATCTGGCAGTTTAGGCACTATAACTTCAGAAATTCATATCTCCTAAACCGTAGATCCAAAGCTGATGAAATTTGGAACACATGTTCATATCTAAGTCTAGTGTATAGGGTTAAAACAGTTTATGAAGAAACTCATAGATGTAAGAGATATAATCAATTTAGTGCAGTAACACAAGCAGAATCTCAGAACAGATCCACTAACTTTAAAAATACCAATTAATTCATATCTTTACTTAAACACTACAAAATTTTGTGGAAAGTCAGTTTCATACGTTTATAATCATATTCAAGTGGAATAAACTCAATAAGATTAGTATAAAACAGTATTCAACACATAACTCGTGGATGACTCCAAAACTGTGCAGATTCAGAAAAAGGTTCATAACTCACTCAATAAAAATCCGATTAATGCATAATTTATATCAAAATGAAGCTAACCAAATGTTCTAGACTACCATAAATTTCATATTTTTATCTTAAGGGATTTCCCTA